AATGTCTATTTCAGTCATTTTAACATTAAAAGATCTTTTATAAAAAAATTTACCAAACAACTTTTTACTCTGCAAGTACTTTTATAAAAAATTTTACCAAACACTTTTAACTTATCAAAAACAGTCCTTTCACGACAGATTTCATCTAACAGAATTTTTATTAAAAGCTCCAACCACACCAGACAAGCTCGAAAATGGATAACAAAAAATGCGAGAAACTTACTGGGAAGGATCGATTGAAAGCAGAAGCACAAGGATCGATTCAAGCTTTTGCTTCAAAATTCGATCGAGAAACCAAAATCGAACTAACCGGAGAAATTTTGAGTGAACGGAGGATCTGATTTGAAGACGGAGAAGCAAAATTCGAGGGACGAAGGGAGATTTTGCAGAGGGATGAAATCTGCTGGGATTGTTGTATGTTATGATAAATATTTGTCCTCAACACCATCAACAGCGTTTTAATTAAAACGCTAGAAACGGAAAACAAAGGGCCAACATTTTTAAGAAAAACGCTGTCGTTAATGGATTAAACGCAGCGTTTATATAAAACGCCAAAGTTTGCAGGAAACTTGTCCGACCAATACCGGCGTTTTATAAAAATGCTGGTAAGAAATCGGTGTTCTTAGAGTTTTCCCTTGTAGTGAATGGAATGAATTCAACATCATAACTCATAAGAAGGGAGATTGAATGAACCTATCCCGGAAATGGGAATCCAGAGTAGGGGATGGATCCCTTTTGTGTAGATGGCAGTAAAAGGCCAGACATTGTCTATAGATTATTTGTAGCAGCGTAGTCTAATCTAAGGAAACCAGAACCACTAAGAAGATGCATAAATAGACTTCATTTATTAAAAGAAACCAATAGTCTTAAATTCATATTAATATAATACAACAATGATCCCCATTCAGGATGCTGCTCTTTCAACATTGAACAAGAAAAAGTAGGGAAAAGAAAAAACAACCATAGGATTTCGGGAAAGAAACTCATGAAACAATGCAGAACGGACTCACGAACAACAAACAATGCTCTGTTTGCTCTGTTTGCTCATGCTTGCAATTTTTTTTTTTTTTTGGGTACATCTTATAAGTGGAAGAAAAGAAGTGCAGCTGCCTGCAGCTTATTTCGAGCATCGCTGTGGAGCAGAGAACAGAAGTGAAAATTTTTAATTATTTATATACATTGTCTTGATTAAAAAAAAATCATAAATAGCATAGTTTGGCTGCAGAAACTCACCTAAGAGCATCGGTCAGGTTGCTGGTTTTTTCTCTTTTTATTTCTGCGGCTGTACCATCCCACAAACTTCTGTTGACATACCTCTACCTTTTACACTGGCCACAATGGTTTTCCTGTTGTGAACACAATGTATCCAAGACATAGTCCCAACAGCAGTCCACAACCAGAACCCATCAATGCAAATTTCCAATCAAATAATGCTGCAGATTCATCTTCTTCTTCATCAAATTGGAAGAAGGTGATTCTGGTTCTTTGTCACCTTGCATTTCATTGTCAATGGAATTCCACACAATCCTAAGTTTCCAATGTAGCAATCTTTAGAAAAAGTATCGAACTACTTCCCTTGTAGAGTGTGAATTAAAAGTTCCTTGTATGAAAAGTTCAAAACCAAAAAGAATGTCAGACTCGTCAACTGCTCAGGAATCCTGCCATCAAGCTTGTTTAACGAGAGATCTACTGATTCAAGTTCTGCCCATTTCTCCAAAGATGATGGAATTTAACCTGTGAGACTGTTGGAAGGGAAGTTAAGTACTAGAAGTGAACTGAGTTCAACCAGCTCTTCAGGAATCTGTCCATGGAATCTACGGCTTGAGAGATCAATAATTGTGAAAACTGTTAAGATTCTTACAAGCTCCACCTCTGTCTTTTATTGTCACCATCACAGAATTCTCATCATAAGTCTATCATTGGGGTTTTTCTTTTGACTTTTGGCAAAAATGGCTTCCACCAAGGACCTTCTTCTGTCTTCTGAAAGCCTAACAGATAAGAGTAAATTTACTTAATCAGATACCAATATAATAGAAAATGAGAATGGGCAGATCTACAAAATCATTCAACCTTGTCACAATCTAACATGAAATAGCTGCGTGTTATATTGCAAAACCCAACAAACTTACTGACCTGAAAGCTATGATCACTACATCGTCTTCAATGGTGACTGCACAGTAGTAACTAGTAACATTGACTTGACCGCCCAACATTAAAAGCATCTGATGAAATCAAATACCAGAAAAACTTTAGAAAGTTTCCATTATTCATTCGAAGAGTGAGTGAAATCCAGTGTTCAAACAGAGGGCTCCAGCCTCTAAAGACAATCAAAATGACTGGGACAAAATAAACCTTCCGCAATTGCACCACTACAAGTGCCTGAGTGTGTAAGAGCAAAATATATGATCAAGTGAATCGGTTGTTGCAGCCGATGTACCATTAAGTGACAAGGTGAGTTTTCCACTCTTTCTAGGGTGATCCT